AGATGCTGGCGTTCATGAGGGTATTTGGGGTAGGACACAGAAAAAGAAGGAAGAAAGCAAGATATACCAGGGATACCACAGACTGGCAAGGTGTGGGAAGAAAGAATTATGTTTTCCTGGCTCTGAGCAGAGGGGAGGGGCGGTAATTCTGCTCATGCTCTGAATACACAGCATTGATGCTCACTTTAAATAACAGAGATTACGGGAGTTACCATTATCTGTAGCGCACCTAGTTCAGCATCCTGTCTTTAAGATACTGACGATCAGTGGGTACCTCAAAAGACTACTGGAATCGGCAAGTTTTACGTATGATGTAATCTTCCCCCCTCATGAAAATCTTTATTTGCATTTTTGAGGATTAGAGATTGATTTAAGTCTCATGAAGTTTTATTTTCCTTTCAGTTCCGCACTACTTTTGGTGTGAAATAACCACGCTAATTCTGGATATTCTTGGATATTCCTGTTATCTATGCATGTCTAACCCCTGGTTGAATCCTGATACATTGCTTATCGTCAGCAGCATCTATTTATGCAGTACATGAAGTACTATTGTCTTTGTTTTAATAAATATTTTAAATTTTCATACTTTTAGATTTGCCACCTTTCAGCTTCACTGTTCTTATAATCAGACAGTGAATGTTCCTTGTTTACTGCTAACCCTGTTACTAATTTAAATATATTTTTTAGTCTTTGAAGTATTTCTGTCCTTCCTGGGGAAAATAGTACAGTTCTATCCAGTCTCTTCATCCAACAGGTTTTGATTGCTGCAAATGCTTGCTTTCTCTGAATACTCAGATTCCACAGAACCCATTTTTAAGATGGGCTCCCAACCTCTGCACTGTAATCCAGTGTATCCACATATATAATTTTTAAAGGTTACCCTTGTCTCTTATTATTGTTGCAGTCTACCACTTTAGCGTTTCTTGTCACAGATGCATGTTAAGCAGAAATCTGAAGTGAACTATCTGCAGTAGGGCCCAGGCCCCCTTTCCAAGTTTATGCAACTAACGAGACAGGTTTATTTGGATTTCTCTACAGTGTGTGTAGTTCAGTTTCCCTGCATTCTACAACTGTTTGTATTTATTAGCATCCATCTTCTGCTGTGGTGGTGTCAATTCAGCTAGTATAGTTAGTTGTCTTCTGCTGAACTTCTTTCTCCCAGTCCTGATTTGGCTAAAAACAAATTACTGGGTGTCAGGTGAATGTTTCGCTCTTTGGCTGTTCACATCCGGAGTTTCAGATTGTTAGTAAGTATGTTATTAAGAAAGCATTAGTAAGTATAATACTAGCTCTTTTCAACTAATAAAGAAAATTGTGTATTACATAAAAGTCACGAGTTAAACCATCTCTAACCAGGTAATCTCATCAGCTTTCTTAAACTGTGTTCAGAGGTCATAGCCGGGGTGTTTTAGGCAGGCAGGCTCTGATTTTCCAACTCTGGTAGTTAATAGCTAACTGTTTTGTCAGTTAGTTTCATTTAGAATACTTGGTTCAAGATGAACTACAGCAATTACTAATTTATTTTTTTTTCTCAGAATGGGGGTGTGTGTCCTCTCCTGACAAGATGGAAAGTAGCCTGGAAGCAGGGAGGAGTGAGAAGGTGGTGTGCTCCCTCTGCTCCCGTTCCCCACTTGTTCCCCACCAGCACACTTTCAGATCTCCGCCTGCATTCAACAAGTCCTGGTGTGGTGGCTGCCAGGGACATCAGTGCCGGGGAGCGGGGTGGGCCACTGTGAACGGGGCAGGAGGAGCAGAAGGATGGGGTTGTGGGGTGGGCCTGAGCACCCACAAGAACAGTAAGACGTTGCGGTACCCATCAGCAAAGCTTGTCTAGACTAGGGGCATATGAGAGCTTAGAGAGGAGGCGTAAGGATAGGCATTCATTTGTGTGTGTGAGGAGGTTAAGGTATCAAACCAAACATCATTTCATATGTTACATTGCAAGAACTGATAGGAATTGACAACCTTCATTTCAGCCATTATGGTCTTCTCTGTACACAAAGCTTAAATACTTCTTATGTTCTAGCTGCCTGGTCTTGCGTATCTTGACAATCTTCATCATGCTGTTAAAGGCAAACATGAAATAGTGTAGTAATTAGTGTATCTGGAATGTGATGTCGTGATGCTCAAAAATCTGATTCCATCTTTTTCTCACAAGTTGTTGTAAAAGGTAGTAGTGAAGTTGTTAGAATACAAATACTGTGACGTATAAGTGCAAAGTAAATTGAACCGAATTCAAGAGTACTCAGAACCTGCATATAACACGAGACTTAAGAGCTTGTCCAAAAAACTACTCAGAACCTGCATATAACACGAGACTAAGAGCTTGTCCAAAAAACTACAAATCACGTTGGAAACTCGCTTAAACTGCACATGTCAAGATGTAAATCCTGCACGCAGCTTCCTGCATTGCTTGGTGCTTACTGTATGTTATGAGGAGGTTCCTTTCAGGTGTTTGCAAGTCACATTAAGAATTTGATTTCCCAAATGGTGCTGGTGTAGAGGAGGAAGCACCTCAAACAGTTAATGCTTTTGCTGATTACATATGCAAAAGATAATGCAAGTGTGGAAACCAGGCTTGTAAAATCAGAGGTCCTTTGCTGAATAGTGTGTGAGAGGATTGCAAATTCTTCTAGGAAAACATTGCATTTATCAGCAGTAATTTGGCAACATCTGCCTCTGCGAACATTGCTAAGTACCTGATTCGAGAGACTCCTCACTTGCACATTTCATCTATTTCTAATGCCATTTCTATAGCAATTGACTCCATACTGGAGTCACGGTTTCTATCAGCAGACAAAAGCAGCATTAGTTTTGCAACATACTTCAATTTATAGCTAGGAAATTGTTTTTTAAAGTTCTTTTCAGATACTTGGCTGGGAGATGTTTCTGATGCAAAAGATCTGCTCTTGAAATGGTTCTGATGAGGTAGTCTTTTGACTGGAGTCACCATGATACATACATAGGAATTGGGGAAAAGTTGTTGTTTTGCTTGCCTTGGACAAACTGGCTGATACTCACAAAAAAGTGATGAAACTAGGTACCTTCTCAAAAATGATAAAAATCAAAGGGAAACCTATGGTAGTCTGGTTTGTAGTTTGCACTTTTGAAAAAGCAGAACAGTAAAAAAAAAAATGGACATATAATATTGAGGACTAAGACTGTTAAAACATAACTCGTGTGTTAAAGTTGGGATAGAAGACCACTTAAACTGTTATCATTAATGAAGTCTTTGAGAACTGTTGGTAATGTATATTACAAATAGTAATAGTGCATAGGTTTTCTTTTGTCCTTCCTGGAAGATGGAATGCAGCATGGAGAAGACTTGGTACTGTAGGAAAGAATGGGGTTGTTATATTTGCATGGGCACAGCCTGTTCTTGAAATTCTTATAAAATGTAATGTCTAGACTACTTAAAATGCAGTGTTTGTTTTTTAAGGAAAATTAGGTTTAATTCTTTCCCTTCTTTTCATTTCCTAAGAGTTTCTAAACTGATGTTGGAACTAAATATTTGGTACTTAAACATTTCCGTGTTCACACACACACGCTCATTTGAACAGTTACTTTCAATGCTATGTATACAGATTTTGATTTATATACATTGATTTGCTTTCTTTTGAAGTGACATGCAGCTACTACTTTGAAATGCTGGTCTATCTTTATTGATTAGCAATCGTTTACTGTAAGACAGACATTTCATATTATACTCAGGGCTGAAATGTGACTCTACTGCTTTAGGCAACACATCTCCAAAGTGTTCTCTTTCCTGCAATACTGAAGTATAGTTTGCATTGAAATGGAAGTTTCCCTGGCTTTGTGTTTAAAATGAAACATCTTGAATGTGGTCATGGTACCACTCTCTACTGGCTCTACTGGTTGTTTTGCTCCAGCTCTGAAGAGAGGTGTGCTACCTTAGGGTAGCCAGAGGTCAGAGTAGATTGGGCAACACAGGGTGGTACACAGAATTAGTATCGTGGCTATGGAGGTAATATCCATTCTTAATATTTGGTATTTGGAGTTCTGTATAATACCATTGTATTGCTGTATCACCATTGGGCACATTTTCTTGTATTTTGAAGCTCTTTTTTATATATTGAATATTTTCATATCAGTATTTAAAGAAGAACTGAAAAGTAATTTTCACAGATCAGTGCAGAATTTAACATTCATTGCACTCTGCCTACATGCATAGTTTTGGAAGTTATGCAACCTCTTTTTATAGAGTTGTGTGTTCTGGTGATCCAGGCTTGCTCAGTTATTGCTTAGAAATACAAGTGTATTCAGAGCTATATATGATACAAAACTTAGGTCATGACACACTACTGTGTACCTCTAAATACAAAAATATTTATTTGCGGTAAGGTTCAAGTAGAAATGGCTTCCATCATTATGTATGCTGACTTTAAAACTACCGAGTAGAAAAGACTTAAGTTGCTGTGACGTAGGGCCATACACAGTCTGGTTGTGGGAAGAATTTGCATGGAGGTGTTGCGTATTTTAGTTCAGACAGAAGAAGACTGAAAACCAAGTGCCCAACACAGAAGCACTTGCTGTTGGTGATCTGAAAACTGCAGTTGCAGGGGGGGGAGGGAGGGCTGCAGCAGGGCATATTGTCACCTTGGCACTGAGGGAGTGCCCTTCCTGACGAACCGCCAGTCGTTATTCCAGATTGCGGAGGTACTAGATCATCGCAGTGCAATTGCCCAAGCAATTATTTTTTTTTTTTTAAGATGAGCGAAACGCATTTTTTTTTCTGATCTCATTATTAGAGGAGACTGGACCTGTTTTTCAGAAACATTCCACACAGAAAAATCAACCCGAGGCAGACACCTGGCATGAAAAAAATTTTGCCTGAATGCTAATAGTTTGGCAACATTTTAATAAGCAAATGAAAACAGTATGTAGTAATGGGAATTCAGCTGCAGTGATTGCTACCAGATCCACCAAGAATAATGGACTTGCATGCCAACCCAGACTTACGACAAATATTGTGATTGTAGGTAACTAAATGACCATGGAATCTGGAGCAGAGAACCAGCAGAGTGGAGATGCAGCCGTTACAGAGGCAGAAACCCAACAGATGACAGTACAGGCACAACCACAGATTGCAACGTTAGCCCAGGTATAAAATCATACGGTGTAATAGTTTTACCTATTGGATTTATTTTTTTTAAGAGGGATAATGTCTGCTCATGGGCCTGAGAGAAGGCTCCATTGGTACAATTCTGAAACAGGTGCGATGTATAGTTCCTTTAATATTTGTCTTCACATTTTTAAAGCAGTGGAGATTTTTAACTTCCCATCACACTAGTCTGTGTTAGTTCTGAAGAACTGTATGTGTGTGAACTGTGTAATGTTAACAGAGTAATGAATGAAAATATTTCTAGCATTCTTTACCACGACCATACCACTGAAAGATATTTTTTCAAAACATGTAATTTACTGTCTTTTTTATATTGACTGGATTGTTTTGCTGTTATGTTTTCTGTTAGAAACTTGTCTGTAGCAGTCAGTTTAATTCGGAAGAAAACAAACCGAAAATATAGATAAATAATGCAGCAAATACAACATCTTATCAGATGGGATTAATATTATAAAGATTATAATCAAGTGGAACAACCTGGCGTTTGACAGCTCGTGTTATCCTGTTGTCTCCAGCATTTCACAGAATTGTTGGCTGTTGAGAGGGAAAGTAGTAGATCATTTATTAGCCCCAAATTATTTTGGAGAGACAAGAAATGCGATCGCAGCTACAGCTCTAATTTTTGGAACCTGGTTTCGTTCTTGGATACACTGATGGTTGGCAGGAGCAACTCCATTGTGTAAATGAGTACAGAATCTGTTTGGCTCCCTTCTGTAACCATTTCATTTTAAAACTATTTGCAGTCTGCAAAGAACAAACAGCTGGTTTAGATCTTGCAATTTGGGGAATCAAGTGTCTTTTAAGTGGCACAAGTGTTAAATTGCTTACCATTTTATAAGTGATTACTGTCTTTTTCAAGTCATTGCACCTTTTGGTAAACCAGAGAGAGTACGCTTCCATTCAAGTGATAGTATAGGGACTGGAGCGGTGAAAACGCACAGGGTGATTTGGTTCAGTGAAGCTGTAGTGTGAATTTACAGGACACCAGCTGCCCTGCACCAGCTTGCCTCTTTGGGCCGTTTTCTCACCATCTAACTTAGGCACAGGGTGTAGGTGGTGTGAATAACACTGCAGTGTGAACTGAGTGGAAGTAGTTTATTTCTCTTGCAAAACCAGTAAACTGCTTCTCACTTGGTATGCATTAAGATTTAGTCCAGAGAGGCAGGAATGTTTCCAGCTCGTGTGCTAACCTCCGGGTAGCTGAACTTACGGGTATGTAGTGGGTTGAATGCACTCTACTCGGGCAAAACTACCTGGGTACTTGGATGAGATTTTTTTCTGAGTAAGAAAAAGCTATAACAGCTATGGTTAAAATCCATGTGAACCACAAAGGAATATGTTACATTTTTCCTAATTTCCTCTGTTGTCATTCGCTTGTATTATTTGCACCTTAGCTTTTCCCCAGGCTTTATATTCCTTGTGGAGGTGATACAACAGTCTAAACATAATTCCTTGTCTTGTTCACATCAGTGTTACGTTATTACGATATTTTTAATACGTGAAGTGGTAGTGTTTGACATTAGGGAGCGCCCTTAGAGGCTTAGGCACATCTAAATAACTAATTATGTCAATTTAATTTTTTCATTATCTCTTGTAAGGTCACCCCTCTTGTAAGCTTAGTTTAAATGCTGCATTTTTAGCGAGTTCAGGGTAGTTTTCAGAGTCAAAAGGAAACTCGTTCCAGTTCCACAAGGTATGAGTCAGAGACATCTGCGGAAGTTGCACTCTGCTGTTGGCTTAATCCAACTGCAGAGTGGCTTCCAGTTGATCAGCTTTGCTGTCATTGCCAAGGACTGTTTAGTCAGACATGCATTATTAAAAAAGGTCATTTGGTAAAGGAGTATAATTTGCCAGAGGAGAGTGTGCTCATGTTAATCTCATCCGCAGTTTCTCTCAGATGTGAGTTGAGTACCGCCATGTAACACTGCAGCCGTTTTCCTGAAAAAGTGAAGGTAAAGGCAAACACAAATTTGTGGATTAGGGAGAGACAGCTGTGGGGGAGAGAGGTCTACAATGTAATTCCCCTTAATTTTGTTGTTAAGCAAGATTTCCTCCTAAGTGGCGCATGTTTATGGAAATTCAGGGATCAGCTACCGCAGCTTTTTGAGAACCACGTGTTTGTGGGGACAGCAGAGGATTTACTTACAGAGCAGCGCTGTGAGATGAGGTAGGACAACGGTGGTGCAGCCCCTTCTCACCTCGCAGCTGTACGCATCGGATTTCTTGAAAATGCCATTGCAACACTGGAGGATTGTTAAATTTTTTCTGAGGCTGGGTGTCTAGGAGAGGGCTGGCTAGTCAACCCGGTCGTGGTCTGCAAGAGCTCATGTTTTCCTGCATCCCTTCCCGGAGGGCTACGGTGGTGGGTGTCAGGCACAAACGGTGGGCCGGGTGGGCTGGTATGGCAGCCCTGGCACCATCCTGCCTCCAGGAACCCCCTGGCCACCAACACATGCATGGTGTCACCAGGCAGGTGCCGAGTACTGGACGTGCACCAGTCCATCTGCCCAGACACGAGGCAATCTCGGTGTGTGGCCCATCTGCGGGCCATGGTGGTCCTTGTGACCTGGCAGAGTGAGACCGCCCCACGTGGCATGAAGAGCTTTTTGTGTGGGTACGGCTGTCCTCAGAGCCTGAGCCCCTGTGCAGGACACGCGTGGCTGTGCACGCAGCGCTAACGAGCCATGCTAAAGTCGTTAGCATTTGTATCCCGGTTGGCATAGCCGCTGTGCCTACAGGTCTGTGCTGGAGGAGCAGCGTCATGTTTAGGAACCTGAGGGTTTAAAACGCGGGCCGTTTCCTCATAGTATCCTCCTAGGAATAACTTTTAAGACTAGAGTTTGTTGACCCGTTACCCTGTATCACAGTAACTGCCTGCAAACCCGCGAGTTTTCTGTCTGAACACGCTGTCAGTTTTCTTCATTTACATGGACTTGGCCAACTACTCAATGCGGTTTAGTCTCCAGAAGGTCTGAAAGGTACGACTCCCTAAAAATTTTAACTTCTTACATCTGGCAAATACTTTGCATTTTCTTGAGTGAGAACAAAAATAGCTCCACTCCCATATGCTTCTTCTGCCTTTGACTCAGCAGTGTCTGTAGGTGTAGCAAGTCCCAGAGCAACATCTAACTGAAGTGAGCGAAGGTAATAATGTGTTTTTATTAGGTTACCTCAAGATAGAGACAGCTGTGTTTTTCTCATTCTTGTCAGGGGTTTTACAAGCGATGTTTTGAGCCTGCAGAAATTCTGCATTAGATTAATTTGCAAGTAGGTCAGATGTTGAGCTTAGGCAGTTCAGGGGGTTTTATGTTACACTGAAACATTCGGGTTATCTAACTGGGGTCTAGAAAACACATCATTCTTTCACCAAGAAGTGCTCTTGGTAGTGAAACAAGAAGATTTTGCAATAACCTAATTTATGGTCACTGTCTCTTCTTTGCAGGTATCTATGCCAGCAGCTCACGCAACGTCGTCTGCGCCCACGGTGACTTTAGTTCAGCTGCCCAACGGGCAGACGGTTCAAGTGCATGGAGTAATTCAGGCTGCCCAGCCGTCAGTTATTCAGTCTCCACAGGTCCAGACAGTCCAGGTACTGACTGAAGAACATTCCTTTTACGTGAATTGGACCTTTTGAATAGTTGAACTGGTTTCTGATGTGTTTGTGTCCTGGATTGTGGTTTTGCTTGTATAAACTTTAAGAGCGTGTACAGTCTTTGCTGCTCTGTGACTTTTTTTTCCATTCTGGTTTAACCACTCTTCACTTTCAAACATTGCTGAGTTTCATTTCTCTCTAGAATTTGGTTGGTGAGTTTAACAGCTTCATGGGTTTTCTTACAGTATTACTCTACTTTTTCTCTCCTGTATTTTCATACATCATTATGAAGTAAGAGTTCATCCTATTCTGAAGTGAACAAAAGGGATTTCTTTTATAATGTAATCTTTAATCATGAATGAGGCTGATGTCCTGGGATGAGAGTCTGCTACTTGGAAAATATTTACATTGGTTTACAAAACAGATGTCTGTATGTTAATGGTCCTTAAAATAGACCTATCAGTCCTCTCATAAAAATGGTTTTAAAATTTGCCTGTTGAATGATGTTTGCTTTGTAAAGCCTTAGCATTTTCTCTTCTGTAAAGCAAGACAGCTAATGCAATATGATGAGATAGCTTGAAGACATAGGAGACAAGTAGTCTGAAATATTTAAAACCTGTAACTTCTTTTTTTTTAACCACTTTTAGCCCAGTGTTACTGAATGCAGAAATATAAATTGCTTGGCATACAGCAGCTACATAGGGCAAGGACTGTGCATCATTCCTTTGCTGTTAGTAAACTGAGCTCAAAAAAAAGTTTCATTTTAAAAAGTAGGCATTGTGACTATTTGATATGGATATTTAGCTAGGTATTATTTTTATAAAAAAAAAAAAAAGCATGCATAATTTAAAACTAGGCCATTCTGATAATAATCTTTTGTTTACTCCTTGTCAGCTTTAGTGCTGAGTTTCTGGCAGGCTCTATCCTCCTCTGCCATTGCAGTCAAAAGTTGAGAATGCTCGCTGAAGTGAGCAGTTTTCAGATGAGGGCACAAGTTACTAGCCCAGGGGGGGAAGGTAAGAGACTGACAGTGAAACCATGCTTGGAATTCACCTGGCTCAGCGCAGAGCCAGAACCTGTTCGGAGTGCTGCAGTGATTCAAAGCCCAGTAGTTCACAGTCAGCCTTGGACCTATTCAGTCCCTCTATCTGATAACTGTGCGATGTGGGCGCCAGCAACCTTTTGGTGCCTTTAGGAATCTTCCCTACAGTGCATAAAATGTCAGGCTGTGAGCTATGTTTCTCACACAGACAATTCTCTATTCAATAACTATCGTTAGCTTTTGTATATTTGTCACGTGGATATAGTCCTTTGGAAAACAGTCTCTGTTTTTATGTATTGGAAATGGGGTTTGCAATTTTGGCACACTTGACATTTAAAATTATTGAAATGTGATCGATACAAACATTTTAGCTTTCCTTTGTAAATCTTTGTCTTTTTTTAGCACAGATGTTCAGAATTGCAGCACTGCATTATTTTTTAGCATCTTAATGTATGATATTTTCCTGACAATTTTCCCCCACAAAAGGCAGTCTCTCTATAGCATACCTACCTAATGATTTATAAATTGATGTTTCTTAACTTCAGTATTTCGGTCTGTGTTTCCAAATGTTTCTGCTGTCTTAATTTGGTTTTAGTTTTTCTCTCCCTGAATTTTACTAAAAAATCTTCCTTTGTTTCCCTAAAATGGATGGAAACAAGGAATCACAGAAAGCAAAAAGTGTGTGGAATTACTGTTTATATTTTCTTATTGGAGTATTTAAATTATAAAGGACATTCTCATAGGAAGATAAAAGACTGTGGTCATTCTTAACTGGATCTGTTACTAAACAGCCTGCCCTTTCTGTTCATTGCCTACGTAGAAGCACTGTAGAATACTTGCATTGTAGTTTTTTGCAGGATGTCAACATTTCCTTGAAATAAAGACATTGGAAGTGTCTTGTTAAGCTTGATTGCTGTTCTTATTTACAGATCTCCACTATAGCAGAAAGTGAAGATTCACAGGAATCAGTAGACAGTGTCACAGACTCACAGAAACGAAGAGAAATTCTTTCCAGACGGCCCTCCTACAGGTATGGAGGTTAAAAGCAGAAGCATTTTGCTTGATGGATGCGTTCTTCACGCGGGGAGACAAACAGTGTGATTGTATAGTTATTTTTATATTTACCATTAGACTGAAATTTCTCTTCTGCAATGTCTTTCCATGGAATAGGATGTAAAGAGATAAGCAAATAGGAGGAGGAGGAAACCTCAGCTGTTACACTCAGCTAAGACAGAAGTGAGCTGAGAATAAACTAATTGCCAAATTTGTGAAATGTTGAGGTATCATTGCGCTAGGTGCCTTAGAGCTAGCTTTAATATAGATACTTAATACATGAAATATACTGAAGCTTTGCAAGAAAGTGGCTTCTGTATAATCTGTAGTCTGCAAAAAATCAACTCTATTGTTTTTCATTATTGTTGAAATGCTAGAGGCAATCAAACTTAATTCCTTTCTCCCATGAGACTTTCAACAAACATGTGGTGTTCTGTGGCTCAGAGAGAATTTCTGCTAGGGCAAAATTGGTTGTCTTTAAAGTTCAAGAAGTCAGGGTATGAGTTGAATGTAGTGATAGGCATCTAGTATCTCTAGTTGTCACGGCAAATACTTCTGTGGTAAGACCAACTGAAGTGCTACTTTGCATGGTGTTACTCATATGTTACTTTGTTAATCAAGCCCTTGTACAGCTTTTTGTGGCTGTACTAAATCTCACTTTTCATTCTTAAAACATGCCAAATAGCATTAAGGAACTGCTCTGGAGTTCAGCGGGTTTTAAGTGACCTGAGGATTCCCGCTAATTCAGAAAATTCCGATGCTCCTTTTTTCTTTATGAGCATGGCCTTAGAAATACAAGCTAGCCTCTAGACCTGAGCACATCTCACCCATTTATTGTCTTTTTATAGCACTTGCAGATTATTTTCTAACTTCTCCAGCAGCCTTCAAGGCTGTTGTGTTGAAAATAGTGAAAATCATTGCGGAAGATCCCTAGCTGTAATAGATCTGGGAAGATACTTTTATTTGTGAGGAGCAGTGTTGCTAACTTCAGGGCTGCCGCAGACTTCCTTGCAGTCTGCTTCTGCAGTGAGACACTTGCTTTTACTATATATGGAAGAATAGCTGTATATCGTGAGATGACAGAGCTAAGCAAACAAGCAACAAAACTTGAGAAGAGGGGGCTTGTGCATGCTAACTTCTCATTGAGATGGACTCCTTTGCGCGCGCTGATGCTACACCACAGCCTCTGTCCTCAAACCAGATCCTGGTAACTCAGGAAAACTTTGTAATTGTAAAACTTGTATAGGCAGCTCAGACTCTGGGCTGGTGTAGGGGTCGTGTCAGAAAGGCTGAGCTGGACTACAGCTGTGTGTAGCGAGTGCCCGGTTGGCGTTATTCAAGCTGCTGTAACTGGCCCCAGAGACAAGATAGGGTGCGGATGGGTTCACGGAATTGAAGAGCTATACCTCTTCCTCAGCAAACGCTGCTTTGATCCTGCTATTGAAGTACATCACGCGTTCCCCGTGTCAGTTCATAGCACCTATATTTGTAAAGCTGCCACCTTACCTTCTATCTTAAATCCATCTTTATGGTGGCAAAGGTAGGTTTTAACCACCAGATCGTATCTGATATGAGCTTAAAAAGTGGTGAGCTGTAGCTTCTTCTTTTCTATTTTGAGCTTCTTGGGCTTAGTTCCTTGTCCTCCGTGCTCTCTCCATATTTTTTCATCTGTTTCATCCACTAGTTTTTCTCGTCTGACACCTAGGTTGCAGACCCTCTGGACGGGAGCTTTTTATTTGTCCAAGTGGTGCTTGGCACAGTGGAGTGCTTGTGCAATGCTAGGGTTCCTGCGTGCACACCAAGTCAAAACAGCAACAGCAAAGCTCTGTTTGTCAAGTTGCTTAGCAGAGTGACGGCTCTCCCCAGATAGCTCCATACAGATGTTCTGGCTCCCAAAGCTTTAGGAGCCTTACTTAAGAAACGAGTGTTGTCTTGGAGCTTGGGGTCTGCAGCTGTGTTTGCTTCATCACATTTCAGGCTCTGGTGGCAATCCCCAGGAAAACATACGAAGAGAATGACAAAAATGTTGCCCTTTACCTAAGTAGCATTTTGCAGTGACAGAATATGCCACCAGTGAAAAGGGCTCGGCAGTCCTCTGAGGGACAGCGTTTGGTCTAAATGATGCAAATTGCAGTAAGTGCTATGGTCAGGCTTACTGTCATGTTCAGTGGGGCCCGTAGCAGTGATGTTTTAGCAGTTTGGGCTTTGGATAATTAAGCCGTGGAAGTATTAAACAAACTATTCTTTCATTTACCCATGCTAATCTTACAGCTTTCTGAGGCAGGGCACCTGTAAACATAGCTGTGTGACTTCACTTGATCACTCAGCGTTGTCTCTGAGGCAGGTGTTAGATTATAAACGGGTTGCCTTTTACATGCATTTTATCTAATTTCCCTTGTACTCAGCTCTCTGGCTGAGGCCTTTATGTTCTCTGAAACAAAGCAGTTCCCCTGATGTGAGGAGATAGGTTTTTGCGTATTTTTGCTTTCTTCAAATCTTTATGGGGCTAAAAGCAGGAAACAAGAAAAAATGGACAAGAAAGAAACATGTTTTTCAGACAAAGAGAAGGTTGCGATAGCTGTATCTTGGGTTGAGAAGAACCTGTTGAGGGAGCGCAGCTGTATCTTGTGTTGATAAGCACAGCTGTTCTGTGCTGGCTCCCTCACCCATCTGTGCATGGCACTTTGAACAGTCCTTTCCAATAAGAGTTTGAAGAAAGTGCGGGCTTTTCATTCTGCACCCATATTTTCCTTGCTGGCTTACTGCACTCTTCAGTTTTCTCCAGCATTATGTATCAAATAGACCTTTTTTATTTTTTTTTAATTTTTATTAAAATCTCTACAACACACTGTCTTTGCCAGAAAAATTTTGAATGACTTGTCCTCAGACGCCCCAGGAGTGCCAAGGATCGAAGAAGAAAAGTCTGAAGAGGAAACAGCAGCACCTGCCATCGCCACTGTTACGGTGCCAACTCCCATTTACCAAACCAGCAGTGGGCAGTACAGTATGTAGTCTGAATTTCTCAGTGGTGCTAGTAAGTGGGGATGAGAAGATGAAGAACTATTATTTCTGTAACTGTTTGGACTAGGACAAAGCAGGAGGTGAAAATAAAAATACTTTAATTTGGCTGTTTGATAACCGTGCCTTCTAAAAACTTTCCTACTGTTAAGTATTTAAAATGTTCAATTAACATGATGGGACTGCTTGCCAGTTAGTGCAGCTCATGCATCCTGAGGCAAAGTATGAACTAACCATAATGTTATTACAAACTTTTTCACTTCAGGAACCAAATGAGGTAATTTGGAAATTTCTTTTTTTCCTGGCAGATTATTAATCCTGGTTCACAAAATTGTAACCTCATTAATCGAAAAAACATTACAGTCTGCAGTTACCTTTTTAGAAAGTCCTGAAAAAATAAGAACTTCAGCAACCTCATTTAAAATATTTAATAAATATACATTTCTGTGGGTTTTTTATTCATTAGATTTTACAGCTATAGTGCTTTGACTTAAAGGGTTGAGGATACAGCAGTAAAGCAGAATTCACACACTGTCTCACACAAACAAACACAGTATTAAATATACAAAAGGGAGAACTACTTGTTTACATCTTTCTCTTAAAATCTCTTTAAAATTTTTTATCTCTGTTTAATCCTTAGCCACTTTGCCTAATACTCTACTTAATTTTACTGAAATTGATGTGGTTAACTCTGCTTTCCAACCATAACTGTAAAAGAAACGGTTGTGTAGATACTTGAGATTTTGGTGTGTCTGTGTGTAGGAACACAGTGAAATTCTGCGGAATCACGAATGGGGGGTGATGTCTCAGTACATCTGCATGACAGGATTGAGGGAAAGAAAGGGGAAAAAAAGCTAGCAAAGTAAGACTGCTTGAAGGAAAAAAAAATAGGTGAAAGTGGGCCTTTATGAATGAAAACACTTCTAGGAAGGTGCTGAGGAAGTTGTAAAGAAGGGGGGATACAATCAGAAGAAAAAAAAATGCCAAAGCAAAAAGAAGGTGAGAGACAAGATGGATAGCAATAGCAGCAGAGGAGATTGAAGGGCATAAAGCATGGAAGAGGAGAGGAATTTCAGATGAGAAGAAAACAGAAAGGACTGAGAAAAAGACCTAAACCAGCCAAGAAGAAAATCCTAACTATCAAATTAAAAATTACTGCCTGGGGGAGGATTGTAGCTCCTCTGTGTGATGCTCTTTTATCAGAGAAACTAATTTCTTTTTTAGGCTGTGCTTTTTGCCCCCCCCCCCCCCAAGATGGGTCTCACCAAAAATTATTTTCAAAGCACAATTTCTTTAATGTGTATTAAAGCCATGTGTCTGATTTGAGGGTGTATAAAGGTTCAAGGGATTTAACTCAGATGAGTATTCTTCCATATCTAGGTGTAATACTGTAAGTTAATAAGTAAATTAGTGTCTTAAATGGTGTGTGTCGATTTTTTTTTTTGTCTTCAGTTGCTATTACCCAAGGAGGAGCAATACAGTTGTCTAACAATGGCACAGATGGAGTACAAGGTCTCCAGACGTTGACAATGACCAATGCAGCTGCAACCCAACCAGGCACCACCATTTTACAATATGCACAGACCACAGATGGACAACAGATACTTGTACCCAGCAACCAAGTTGTTGTACAAGGTGAGAAACTTCACAGCCAGTCATTCTGTATAACATTTTCTCCACGCAGATATAAGTTGCCAACCTAACTCCTTCAAATGTGTCAGGAGACAGAATTAACAGCTTTGGCACAGATGAGGCTCCAAAATGATTAAAGGAAATTCTGGACAAAGGTATTTCTCACATTTTCTTGCAGCCTTTCCCTTCATGTTGATAAAATTGTGGATATTTTGGGTTTACTTCTTAAAACAATATATTTATTTTTTGTTTTCCATGCTGTATTTCCTGCACTTTGTCCACATAATTTTTTTGTATATGTTCTGCAAAAACTGATCCCACTTCAGGGTTGAGTTCTCCCAGATAGTCATCTGCAACAACAATAAATTTAAAGTGGAGCATTAAAGTTAGGAAAGAAGGGTATTTGATTCTTTCTATAAGGACTCTTTACTTTATTAGTAATTTTTTCCACTTTTCAGTTACAAGTCACAATTTCTTCCTATTGTGGCTTTTGTAACTAGTCAAGTACTTAATTATTGAGTGTCGGAGTCATAGAATAATTTAGGAAAGTGTCTTATGAGAGGATTTGATCTAGCCCTCCACTTAGAGCAAGCAGGGCTACTTCAACTTAGAATAAGTATATGTTTTGGTTTATTAAAAGATGTTTATTAAAAATAACAGAAAAGTGTACCCCTGCTTTTATGATAATAAAGCAGGCGATTGGAAAGTTAACCAGTGAAGAGATCTCCAGGCATCAGTGAAAATACATAGCCAAGAAAAATACTGTTGCTGCATCAATCTTCTGGTTTTTGTGTTCTTAAGGACATGTGATTGCTTTAGGTGGTATTGTATTTTTTAACAAGCTCAGGCAAATGTAACACACTCCTAGATTACAATAAGCAAGCAAAAGAAACCCAAGACCTTGTTCATTCTAGAGAAGTAGTGAAGTTGACTGTTTAGTTTGCACTGTCTCTCTCTCGTTGGAGTAAATGCTACATTTCTACACCCTTTTGTCTGTGCCAAATACACGTGCAGTTTGTCCTTTTGCAGATAGACATTTGGAGCATGGCTAGAAATACTGTTTGCCATCCTTGATCTTCTTAAAACTGCTAAAACTGCCCAAAAAACAGAGAAGTAAAAAGAAATTTATTAAGGGGGAAAGAAGCACAGCAATTCAGCAAGACAAATCACGTTATCAAGCACAAGCGAAGACTTCTTCAGCAGGCATGCCCATAACCTTGTATACATTAATAAACTAAGACTGGGATAGCAATGATGACCCATATGATGGGTCATCTCTCCTGTACTGTAGCCCAGAGTGAGTGGTTAGGTAGATGACTGGGTGCTCTTCACACCACGTTTAACAGCGCTGTCACCAAATTGGCATCATGTTCCCTTGTGTCTTTCAGCTGCCTCAGGAGATGTGCAGACCTACCAGATTCGCACCGCCCCTACCAGCACCATTGCACCAGGCGTAGTCATGGCATCCTCTCCAGCACTTCCAACCCAGCCAGCAGAAGAGGCCGCACGGAAGAGAGAAGTGCGTCTAATGAAGAACAGGCACGTACATTTAAATCACGTTTTTTTCCCAGTCAGCTACGCGTAGAACTAGAGTGTTAAGCACTAAGAATCCTCATCTTGCTTAGTCATTTTATGAAATGCATTCTGAAGAATTTGCCTTTATTTAAAGATGCAAAGCATAGAAGCACATCTGCTAATGCCATGTATTGTGACTATGAAACCTTATGTAAAGGTGTCAGACTCATTCTGGGAGGTGTGTGAATTTGTATGTTGCCATAAGGAGAAAAGTCATTGGTGAGAGACTTGTATGACTGCATATATGTTCTTACAAACACTGAGGTGAGTTGATTTTTTTTTTGGTGTTAGTACATTCATGCAGTTTCCTTTCCTGGATTCTGTACCTTAGCCTTCTGCGTGCATTCTCCTTGCTGCTGGCCCACCTGCACTCTTCACGAGTGCTTTCTTGATTGTCTCACTTGTTCTCTTTAGCTGCCCGCCCTTTGGGTTTTATCCTCTGGAGGCAGAAGGACTCAAGGAAAGACTAAACGAGCAGCTACTCCTTTTTATGTGTTGTGGAGCCAGTAGTGGCAGCAGAGGGGCTGAAAAAGAGAGAGAGAGGAGATTTGACCCTGTAGGATTTAGTGAGCGAGGAGGAACAGCCAAGCCTACTGAGGTGGGGGCTTGGTGGAGGCAGTGAAGGAAGGGAACAGCAGAGAGAAGTTTGGTACGATGCTCCTTACGACTGCTGCTGTGAGAATGGCCTGAGCTGAACCATCACACCAAGCATGAAGTCCATCAGCAGGCCACAGATTTGATCTTGCATGTGACACTGTGACATGGGGAAAACAGCAGTGTTTCCCTCCCCTCCAAGGAGGGGAAGCCCCACAAAACCACTGTTTACTTCATCTGTCAGTCTGAAAAAGCTGTTATGTTGTACAGGTGCACTGATCTTCTGTAGATTGCTAAACTGTGAAGAAAATAGAAAGTTGCATGAGCCGACCCAATGCCTGTCTGAGGGGCTTTAATTAAGTAAATAATGCTGAACAGCAGAGTTCACTTTTTTAAACGGTTTTTGTACAGAATGTCATCCATCTCCCCTTTTTATATATTTTTCTCATATCGGTGAATAGTAGATGTCACGCTTTCAGGCTCTGCATTTGAGAAAAAATTAATTAGCATTCTGAATCCCCTCATTTAGTCAGCAGTCTTATTCCAGTAAAAGAAAGCTTTTGTGTTTGGGAAAGCCAAGAAAAACAATGGAGAATTACCCCCACTTGAGTTAAATTGACGGCTTCTGCAACAGTATCATGTTGCATGTGGTGCCTTTAGCCTGCCTGCTTAATGGGTATTTGCAAATCTAGGCTCCGTAGCAAAGCAGGGGAAAGGGATATAGAGAGGCAGATGGTGAGGTGGTACTTACTGCAGGATTATAGTGTAAATATTCATAGATATTATTGTGCAAATTTTCTGTGTAAATTTTACATTTTAAAAGCTCTCTTGTAATTCAGTATAACTCTTAACTGTTCATAATGAATAGCTAATGCACACAGACTTGAGGTGGCTTAATACACAGCCCAAGCTGGCACAAAAATCACAAAAAGAGAGAAAAAGTTGTCACCCAAGAAGGCAGATTAGTAGTTTGCACTGGGAGGCACTTCCTGATCCAGTAGTACTTAATCTTTTGATGACACAAGTAGCAGCCCGAAATGACTTAAATTCTCAGCGTTGCACATGGCCCACTGAAATGCTCCAAGCATGTGCAATTGTCTTTGTAGGAGTGACAAATGGATGGATACCTGAGTCCTTTCAGGGCTTACAAACTAGGTTTTCTTCATCCTGTCTCATTTGTGGAGCTGAATTTCAATAATTACTTTTAAAGTGTTCTTACCAGGTAGGTCCTGGAACAGACATTGTTTTTTACCTAGTACTACAACTACTGTTTATCTGCTAAGCAGAAGAACCAGGTTCAATTTTGTCCTCTTATTCCCAGAACATTGACTGTATCACCAATCTATGTAGTATTTGCAACGAAGGGACACTCACACTCTCCTTTTGAGGCTGCTCTGGTTTGCATCTAAAGGTTGAGGGCAAAGAAGCGTGTACGTTTATACGTGTCTGCAGCGTGCCGCTTTGACAAGCTGCATTACAGGAGGAGAGCCCTCTGTCTGGACTCCCATCCACCTGCCTTGTCCTTACTTTGCCCGTTGGTGCCGTTACCGGTGCTGTGCAGGATAGCTTCTGCCTTGGCGTTACTGCCTTCAGGACGCTCAGCAGCACATTAACACTTTTCGGGTATTTTTTCATTGGTGTTCTTTGTATGTCACCAAGTTACCTACGGGCAGCTCAGTCTTTACAAGCAAGCCGTAAAAGTTTGACTGTCTGGAGATGTGCTTCAGCACATTGACACTGCCGTGTTCTTGACGCGACAAACAAGGACTAAAGAATTACATAGTTGCTAGTGACTGTTTTATTTTGTGATTTTTTTTTTTTTGAGTCATTTATAGTATCTTTGCAGTAATGCGGACATTATAAATAAAATGAAGGTATTGCTCGAGAGCAAAGATATGAATGCTGTAAATACCACTTTTTTTTTTTTGCACCAGTTGAACATCCTGACCATTGGTATTTGTTTGGGCTATAGCAAAGGGAAGAGTTAAGACTGTAAAGAGATTAATAGATGAACATTGGTGTTACCCATGCTTTTATTATTCATCTATTTACTGTAATAAAATAAATGAAATTGTTGCAGCAGCATTCAATTCAACCTAAAGGCTCTAATGTAAATCCTGCAAGCAGAGTTTTACTGGTGCTGACCTACTGGGTTCTGCCTGTTGAAATGATCCGTGGATCTTGAACGTGTGTTATTTGTGAAGAGCAGTTGTTGTGAACTCACCCATTTTTTTCCTCACTTGCATTTCTTAACAATACCTCCACATTCTAAAAATGGCAGTACTAGGTAAGGGTTTGACCTGAACAGTTGAGTTGCCCATGTCTGCAAGTAATTGTTCTGGATTTGAATGGCCTTTTTTACTTTGCAGAGAGGCAGCACGTGAATGTCGCAGGAAGAAAAAGGAGTATGTGAAATGTCTAGAAAATCGAGTGGCTGTGCTTGAAAACCAAAACAAGACACTGATTGAGGAATTGAAAGCACTTAAGGACCTTTACTGCCACAAATCAGATTAATTTTGGATTCCTATTTTCACTTGTCCAGGTGGGATAGAGACTGGTTCTGGCTATATCCAGAAAGACAAAGTAAACTTTTTATTTTCTAAACATTTCTTTTTTTCTATGCGCAAAACTGCCTGAAACAACTACAGAATATACTTCATCTGTGCTTTGCATCAAACTGTGAATGTTCAAGTACTTGCCTCCACTCCGCCCCCTACAAGATTATTTTCATCATCAGTTTCAGCGTGAAGAAGAACAGGCTTCTTTCTCGTCTCCCCAACCTCTTCAAGGAGTAACAGCGGTCGCTTGGGAAGTTACTGTGGGGAGGGTCTTTTTGTAATGATTTCAAGAATTTGTGCTGAGCTCTTCCATTGCCTTAGAGACAGAACCACCCCAGCCTCATGGTCCAGAGAACGGTGGGCCACATACGTGGAGCATGCATGGTGCGATGAAGAAGCGATGGTTGCCAAATTGGTTTCACATATTCATTATGAACTATAAAAACACACGGCTAAGCGGCATGCCAAATGAAAGGCTCTTCACAGTCACGTTCTTGGTGTGGAGATAACATACCTTTTTCAAACTAGCCCAGGAGGGGGTTTGATTTTTAATCTGTATTAAGCCCTCCTGGACTAGTAAAAACTTCTCCATGCCTCAGAAACAAATGCATTGAAATGAGCTTCACTGGTCAGTTGTTGCTTCTCGAAGCTTACGTGTGCAAGTGTGTTCAGCATTCCGAATGCACAGAAAGCAAACGCCAACTTCATAGGATACTGATCGGGAAATGATATTTGGAATGGGAAAGGAATTCAGAATAAAAAAGGCACAAAAGTGACGTTTCGAAAACAGTCACATAGTAAGCAAGGGTAACACGTGGAAGCACTACCTATTTGTATGCAGAACAACTAAGCAGTTGAAGCACAGCCAACTCCACATACATACTCCCTGATGACAGTATAGTCTGTGTCCCAAGTCCTCTCAAGAAGTGAGGTTGTTTCTGTTTCCCTACCACCGTCTCACCTAATGGAAATTAATGTACTCGGTGGAAACATCAGCCTGGTTTGCTAGATTCTTTTGCAAACTTTGAGGCTGCCTTCTGTGCATAAATTGCAGTATGACAAATACCAGGACAACCTCAAATACTGAAGAGGACTTCAAACACAAATATTCCAACTTCTGCTTCGCAAGGGACAATATTAATTATTTGAACCTGGCCAGGCTAGCTAAATTCTTAGTTTATTCAGAAGATTTTTTCATGTAACGTGTCAGATTTCCCAAGTAATTTATTCCTGTAAGTAAAATTACTCATGTGCCTCAGACATTTGCAAGATCAAATTTTTTTGGTGTGCACTGAGGAAATGTGATCTTTCCCACATTTACATTGTTAAAAAGGTAGTTCCCGTTTAAAAACAACTCTGTACTTAAGTATTAGGACTTCAAAAGAACCATGCTCAAAAAGAACCAAACAAGAATGTCAAGAAGTTGTTAAAAAGATTGTGTCAAAAAGAATCATGCGCAGTTTGTTTACTGGCCCCCTGAAGCCAGTCTCTTGATACATTAACTTGGGTCATTTGATGGAGTAAGTTTACTTTGGGCTTCTGGTCAAACTTTTATGTATAGAGACATAGGAATACGACTCTGGTCTGTACTAATGCCTCTAGCAAAGTATTAGCTAATATCTTTTTCCCATTCACACTACCTGTTTTTAAGACGAAATTCAAACACAAGCTTCTAAAAGGTTATACAATCAATATGATGTTATAAGAAGAACATTTGGAAGACTCCAGGCAGTTGAGTCTCAAACAGCTAAGCAGTATTAAAAGTTCTAGTTTTCTCATTTGAGAGGGCATTCAGTTTCTAAGAGACTTTAAAAGAAGCGGGGTTGAACTTGTAGCGTTATTGTTAAATCTAGAGTTATCAGTAATTTCAAATTAAGTTTGTATTTCAAGAAGAAAACATAAATATCAGAATTATGAAAATTCATTTTCACAAGTTTTGAGGGGCTTTATAAATGGTCTGTTTTTATCTGCCATAGAGAATTGATTTTCGTGGTTTTATTTAATGGAAGATGAATTTATTAATTTAGCAATGCAAATTTAAAGAAGACCCTAAATTCTCAGCAGCGCTTTTATAAAAATTGTGGGATTCTTAAAGTCAGAGGATACGAATGCATACAACGGTTACCAGTTTTTCAGAACTAGAGCTGAAGTAGAAATGTCGATAACACAGGAGTCCTTCCTGTGAAACATGAAGAATCGTGATGGCGTAATTTACAAAGTTATGTGGAATGGTTCCTCCAGCTTTGAGAAACACGGAAAAGGCTGTACATGCCTATACATTACGGCTGTTTCTTTTGTAGAAACATCTGTTTGCGAAAACTTGAGTTTTTGCAGTGAACCTGAATGCGGCTAGCTGTGATCTGAGAGCTGGTCCTAGTGGGTAATGAGCGCTGTCTGGCACTTGCCAGTAGTCACTCGGCACAAAGCCTGCGAGCTGAATGGACCAGGGAGCCTGAACCGGTACCCGGCCAGGGTTCTTCTAATACAGGGTTGGTGCAAATCTGTGCAGCAGTAAGAGAACTGTGTTACCGGTTTGTCTGTGCGTGGTCTGCAAGTAGTCTGTAGTGTTATTAGTCTAGACCTCATTAGCAAATAATGTTTCCCTAAGAAAAAGAACGTTATTTTAAAGTTGATAGGGATCTGCAAGAATCCTTATTTTTATTTATGCTGCACTGAGGATTTACGGGCTTGAATTTCTTTCATGGAGATTTTAAATGACAATAGTCAGAAGTATTAGACCAAGTGGCGGGCTGGCTAGGGTTACCCGTACATGCTTTACTATTCGCATTGACCCAAAAAGGGAAGGAATATGACACAGGAATCCATTCTCATGTTATTTACCAAGTAGTGAGGTTGGGGTAATCAGCTTCTATAAACTAAGGCCATTTGGAAGTAGGACGGAAATTATGCTGGCAGGGGGGAGGAAGGGTTAGTTTTATATCTCACAGTTGTGAGTTTTCAAGAATTCATAGCCTGTTTCACCTGAAGAGAGGGTTAGAAAGGGCTAGATCCATTATGTTCATAATAAACAAGAATTGATTTGAAATATAATTTTTGTAATGTCATTATTTTGCAAAACAACAGCACCGATCAGGCAGTTAAGATATTGTCAGAGGTGCTCTTTTAATTTAGATATTCTTGGAAAATACATATGTATAATATATGTACATATATATATATACACACAGTATATAATCTACAGCTCTGAGAGCTTTTAAGTCAGGAATGCTGAGTATTATAGTATATGGAGGTCAGAAAAAATTTTTACTTCTCTGTGTGTGTCTGGGTGTGTGTGGGTGTGCGCGCGTGTGTGAAAGCTTCCCCCCGGCCCCACTAGTTCTGGGCTGCATTATTCTAGCGCTTATTACTGATTTGTTTTGTGCTGTTTCTCAGTTATCCATTTTCAAGAATTTTATTTCATCTTTCATTGCTTTTGTGAGGTTTGTTTTTGTTTTTTATTGATGGAGATTTTTGAAATTATGTAAACAGCTGTTTTACAACAACCACCACCCCCCAGAATAATTCACTTTTGTGCTTTTTTCTCTTTGGCAGCTATATATATCAAAGGCAAAACAATTGGAAAGGTTGTTAAGGTGTTATTTTCTAAAGGAACCACTGATAAGACTTCTGCTTTCCTCCTGGGGTAGTGGTGATGCATTTTTATTTAAGCGGCGATTTCACCAGAATCAGGTAGTTCCCAGCAGCGTAGCTTCTGTCTGAAAGCACAATTTCAGCCTGTCGTGCTCGTCAGGACTGTACAGACACCTGTAGGTTCTGGCTCTTCAGTAGTTGGCATTTGCATTGCAGACCACTGTCTTCTCTGTTACTTGTACGTTGATCAGAAAATTGGTGGGGTGTTTGGAATCATTAAGAGGCTCAGGAAAAAAAAATTAAAATTTAGATTTAGTAAGGAAAAACAGCCCTGTTAGTTTCTGATCTAACTTTGTACTACAGGTTTCCTTTAAATCTGGGCTTCCAGTAGGCTGCAGCTCAAGTAGTCATCTGTTAGTGAAAACTGGCCTCTGCTTTTCTATTTTATATTTTTTTAATTTATGACAGACCGCCAGTGCTTTTTGTGGGTTAAAGACAAGTCTCCCCATCAAAGCAAGTTCATTATCAGTGGTTGCAAATGTATGACAATTCATCGAGGATTTCATTGATTTTCTGAGACCCTGTTTTTATTGTAATTTTTTCACCCTGAAGCTGGTTAGTGATGTAACATTTGCCAATGATCTAACCAAAAGGTCATGTATTTATTTTTGTTACACTATATTCTTTGTAAATGTCTAATTAAAATGTGCACTTTTAAAAAAAAAAAAAGACAAAAAAACACAGAACAAAAAAAAATGAAGAAGAGCAATTGGGTTTACTTGAGAAGCTCCCTGTCAGAGTTGTTGTAATCCTGCTGCCTGCACACAATTCACTCCTCTCCCCACAGCCGCTGACTCCTTTGCAAATTTAACTTGCTGATTAGCACCTGGCGGCCAGCAGGCATTGCTTCAAAATGGCAGGAGATCTGAACTGGCAGTACTGAAGACTGGAAAGAATTAAGTGTGCGGTGTCTCAGAGCAGTATGTGCAGGATGGATGGGAAATTATTTTTAGAATAGAACTAGTTCAGTGATCCCAAGTGGGGAAAGGGAGGTTAATTTGGAAGGAAAGCTAAACTATTTTTCCGTCACTTTATTCCCCTTTTCTTAATTTGAGATTTGGCTGCAGATTTTACAAGCTGCACTCCAAGAAAATAAATCAAAAGGCTTTCCAGTTCTTTGACACCAGGAAGTAGAGGTACATCGTCAATGTGTCCCTCTGCTTGAAAAGATAAAAAAAGCACAACCACCTTTCTTCTGCAGGAACAATGATAATTTAGCTGTAACCCTGAAATCTGTCACTGTGAGCGGGTTTTAAAAGCATACAGTACGTTGATGGTTCTCTGTACTGTGCCTGGGAACTCGTTTCCCTGAGCTTTTGAATTTGCCAGCTGTAAAAGACACTGATTTTGTGGAAACCTGAATGTATCGCGAAGCTCAGTCGGTCTGGGAGGAGCCGGACTGATGGAGAGAAACAGGGTGCTGAAAACCTTCTACTGTGTGCTTGTGGCAGGTTCAGGTCTGTGGATGGATATGGCTTAAATCTGTACACCTTTGGGGAAAAGGGACCAGATCCAGTTGGTAAAGAGGGTTTGCATTTCAAGTGTTTTGCCTTGGAATGTGTTTTGTAAATGAATTTAAGCTCTGGTCTGCAAAGAGACTTGCGTGGGCTGGTTTGCCTGGCACAAATTGGTGAGTCCTGGTGTGGCTTTCACCAGCGAGAGGCAGGAGAAGTCAGCTGTCCCCAGGAGCTGTGTGCTGGCAGGGACAGGGTCGGGGACAGGCTGTGATGATCCACGGTTGGCGCACTTCATAAGCTGACCACTTACTGTACTCATGACTTGGGAGCAGTCGGTTCACTCAGCCTCAGCTATATGTTTCTCTAAATTTGGGGATAGCTGAGTGAGAGCGTGGGGAAGGAAGGTCTTGAGCCAGTGAGTTATCTGGAAAGGGCCACTCCAAAAGAACTAAGGATGTTTTGATGCTCCCCGCAAGTTGTGTTTTATCCAGGTGCCACTCCATTTTTTGTGTGTGTAATGACATTTATTTATATTAAAACATTAATTTTAAAAAGTTCTAGAACTTCGAGTTTGTATGAGATTTGAAACTGTGCTGCTTACACGGACTTCTAAGGATGGGATGGGGAACAGGGCAAGAAGAGGTGCTAGTTGGCAGCCAACCCCTCCACAGACTTGTCCACAGATTGGTTGCTCACTTCAAAAATGAGTTATTTCTACTCTGGATTTATAATTAAAACTTGTTTTGGAACAATGTTTTTCAGGGAAGCTTCCAGAGAGAGGGTTATTATTCTCCCTTTGTAATGTAAGCTGGAAAGAGTAAGTTCACCTCATCTGCATTTCTGATTCTTTACCCAAACCATGTCAGCACAGAACAGGGTATTTGAGCTTGACTCCCACGTATTTGTGGAAGTTAAAAGACTAAATGAAAATCCATTATTGGGGGAAAAGAAATTCTTATTTACGTTTCCCCAAAAATATAGGAACATCCCTGTTGTGGTTGGTTTTTTTTTTTTCACTTATTTTTTTGTGCTTTATCTGTGTTTTTTTAAAAAAAAATTGTACTGGGTTATAATGCATTTTATTAACACTATGTACATATTAGCTGCTTTGTGTTTCAGAATGGTAGTAATTGCTTTGTATATTAAAGTGATTCTTGTGAATTTGTGAATTATTGTCATAAAGAAGTGCTTTTTCTTACTGTAATCTTTGTGGTATAAACTGTCATAACTCCCTTTTTACACAAACATTTATGTGCAGTCACATAAACATGCTTTAAAAAAATTCTACGAAGTCTCTTTTTTGAGCAGGATGTTCCACTTACACTGATTTAGTGGCAAATGGTAGCTAGATAGGAATATGGGAAAAGGCATATTTGAAGCAGACTGTGGTGTCCTCTCATGATCTGTGGCCTGCTGTGAGTATTCATGAGATATATTTTCCCCAAAGGGAAGGCTTTTGTAATCTTAATTAAATTGAATTCGATTAGCGAGAGGTTAAGTCCTGAAAAACAAAGTTTCTCTTCCACTTCTGATATTTTTAAACCCTCTTTCCAGTACCCATTCTGGTGGCAATTAGTTCCGTTGTTTAATAATGCGCAAACGACTTTTTTTTCCCTTTCACAGTTTAAATATGCTGTTTTTTCCCCCGCTTTTAAGCATTCCTGTAAACCGTGTACTACTGATGTTAATAACAGAGCAGAACAGAAGGCAGCGAACACCACAAGGATCCCAACCCGGTTATGTAATCTGCAAGGCTGGATCTAAACACCGGGATGAAAGCCAGGAGAACAAATTCAGCGCTGAGGTAAACACACCTCCGGTGAAATCAAGGGGAAGCAGTAAGGTCAGCTCATTATGGCTGGGATTTTGTGGTTTTTCGCAACCGAGCGTTTTCATAATGCCATTCACGTCCTTGCTCAGAAAAATCTACATCTCAGTAATGAGGGAGAACCCCAAACAGAGGGTAGTCCATAAGAAAAATGCCGTTTGGCTTGAATTTCACACTGAAAGAATCTGGTAACACAGATCCCTATGCAGTCAGTAGGCCAGATGGTAAACCTGATTCTTCTGACACTGCTGCACCTTGAAGCTCTTCATCCGTAAGATACAGAGGTGAAATTCATACTCTGTGTCTTAATATTAATCAAACATGACTTTAGTTGCAATGACATTTTAGAAGTTTGCTCCCTTGCAGAATGGCACGTTTCGGGGATGGTTTCACAATCTCACTGCATGCTCATGTCTTATCTGGTCACTTCCCTGTGACTTGGATCCTCTCCCTCGGGTGAGTGTTTTATTTCTCAAGAGACTATTTCTGCATTGCCCCACGACTCGGGGACCCATGCCCAAACACATCCTCACTGCAGATGAGTTCACATCATCTGTTACAAAACAGGAGCAATGCAGTGGAACCACCCAAAGGAGAACCACGCTGTCTTGAAAGGCTGAGAGACCTGGGTCTGTTTAACCTGCGGAAGAGAAGACTGAGAGGAGATCTCATCAGTGCTTACAAAGGTCTAAAGTGTGGGTGTCAAGAGGGGCCAGACTCTTCAGTGGTGCCCAGCAACAGGATAAGAGGCAATGGGCACAAATGGGAACACAGGAAATTCTGTCTGAACATAAGGACAAACTTCTTTACTTAGAGAGTGACAGAGCACTAGAACAGGCTGCCCAGAGAGATTGTGGAGTCTCCTTCTCAAAACCCGCCTGGATGCGTTCCTGTCCAGCCTCCTCTAGGTCAACCTGCTTTGGCAGGGGGTTGGACTAGATGATCTCCAGAGGTCCCTTCCAACCCCTACCATTCTGTGATTCTCCGGTGCTGGGATGAACAGGGTGACAAAAAGTGCTTGGACAGGGTGTTAGTGTAATTGCCAAACAGCCGCTGAGCATCATCTCATACAGGAGTAGGAGTTCGCCTGGGACCAGTCGGTTGGGACACCAGTTTGCAGTTGTCATCATGAAGGGCTGCTCCCTGTGTGCTCACTCAACGGGCAGTTACACCTCTGCTGCTTCTGTCCTGCATGTCTGGCGTGGTTCGCTCCCGACATCTCCCTTGAAGCTGAGTGTGATGGGAATATAAAAAAGCTGCGAAGCCCAACCTGGGACAACAGAAGGCACTGCTCAGTGCCTGATGCTGGTGGGTGTTAGCCCTGCCCCGGGGGAATGAGCTGTAGGTTACAGCAGAGTTACATTCTCCCAGTTGGTGCCTGCCCCTAAACACTGGAGCTTAAAAAGCAGCCGGAACTAATGTGCTTTTGGTGGTGGTCTAATTGCAATTTTCCTGTGTCTGGTCTCCTGAATCTCAAGGAGTGCCTGCACCCCAGTAGCAGTCAGAGGAGAAGGTGTCTACTTGAGGGGGTGCCACTTGCTGTGCTGGGGAGGGGCCACCAAGAGCTCAGCTCTGCAGGTCAGGGACAAGGCGCTCACCCGAGCTGCCAGTGTTACCTCACAATTTTCTCTGCAAGTATTTACTTACGCGCAGTAGCATTGCTTCAGCCTTCAAACGTACTCACTCGGTTTTACATAAGGCTGCTGTGCAACAGCAGCACAGCAAAAGAAGCCAAGCCTGGTGTCTTCCAGCACATGCCTTCTCTCGCAGGAAGGCTACGGGCTGTAACAGCAGCAGTGGGAAAGCAGACGCTGAAAGCTGCTGAACAATTAGAAGGAGATGCAATTAAACTGATCTGCTTTAAAAGTACAAAACTTCTCCTATCGTTGAAGCAAGGCCTGGAACAAAGCTCCCTTCTTAAAAGCATGTAGGTTGCTGCACTAGGCTTTATTCTGTACTACACTGGGCTTTATTCTGTGCTATTTAAGCGGGCTTTTCAAGCATGTTCCTACTATGGCAACAACGGCAGCTGCTCAGGCTCTCAGCATTGCAAGCTGCAGCCTCTTGCAAGCACAGGCAGGTAGCAGGCTTTCCCCATGCACCCTCACATACTCTCACAAGTCCGAGCCCCAGCATGCTGTGCAGCTTCAGCCCAGGGAGAGCCTAACATGCCATGACCACAGACGAGCTCGGAGACAAGGAAACACCAGCGGGGAGGAAGAGGAGCGGTGAGAACTTAACAGCCAAACTCCGAAAACTAGAAAGTGGGGAGAGCTCGTAATTTTTTTCAACTGTTGCTCACCCAGTTAACAGGACAGAGAAAGCCATGTCCGTCACATTAAAGCTCATATCATGTTCTGGTTTTAATTAAAGGTGCTGTCTTCCTTCCCTCAAAGGGACTTCAAGTCTAGTTTCAGACTGCAGATTCCCAGCCAGCCGCGTAAGTACTGGTTTAGTGACACCCTGTGGCTTGTGAGGATACTGTTGTAAGCAAGTGTTTTACAGCGGCAGCTCTCAGGCCGAGTCCAGGGCCAAGCAAGGAACTTAGCTGAAAACATGCGAGAGACATGTCAGAGGTGAAGCACAGGACCTTCGGGCCTCATTCCCGGAAGCTCTAATGATAAATGTGTCATTTCCAGATTATAGTCTGCACATCACTTCTGGACTACAGACCCTCTGCATCTTTTCCAGTTAGGAAGTTTGATGGAAGCAGAAGTGATAAGGAGCTCCTAATGTCCATGGCCCGAAGCAGTTGCTGGTGTTTGCTGTTGCCAGTGCCAAAGACATGTACACACTTAAAGCCTAAACCTGAACTGGGGCTTTGCAAGTTAAGTTTAAAGAAAAAAGAAGTTCCACATCCACCAGAAAAGAAGTACTGTAGCAATTCCTGCATTTAGGACTGTAGCTGTCTTAGGCCATTGTTTTCACCAGTTTCATTCTTCCACCACTAGAAAGAGAAGGAAGTCTGTTGCTGGTGCAAGCCAGATTCCAGGCTGCAGCCCTTTTCACATAAGATCTTGTGGGATGAACAAACACAGGTGTTTTTACAAGCTCAAAGTATTAAATCAGTTACTTAGAACAGCATCTACCACTGTGCCCAAAAAGCACACTGAAATCTAGACACTGCCCCAAGGTCTCAAGTAATACAAGAATAAGTACTCCCCCAGCTACAAAGACTTTACAGTAGCATCCTCCTCTTCTAAATAACAGCTCTCAGAGCGAGCGAGCCACAAAGGCAGAAAGCAGAATGTTATTTAGTGGTACTCTGAGAGTCAAGGAATTATTTTATATTTAAAGAACAGTTTGACTCTCCTTGTTTCTGCTTTTCCTGCTGGCACATGAGCATGTGTATCTGCTGCAAGGAGCCTTGATCTGTGCGAGGGAAAGTTATCTTGTTAGGGACAACCCAAGAACCACGACTGCGTCGGTACTGCAGGCATAGCCTCCACGCTCGCAAGTCAGGTAAAAACATCACTGATTAAGCTGCCTTACACTGCAGTACTGATTCCCAACCCACCCACCCACACACAGAGATCTTGTTCTTTTGTTTCCCTGTGCCTCTTCAATGCAGCAGTGGCAGCAACAGATCAACTTTATAGCAGTTGCCTTTGTTGGTTTTGCCCTTTAAGTGGCTTCTTTTACCACAACTTTTAAGATGCTGAAGGCCTGAAGAGTTAAAGCATGGAGCTGGGGTCTTAGCTTATGTTTCATCCGTGTTTACTTTTCTCGAGTGAAGGAAGTGATAAGGGGAAAAAACCTCACTCTAATCTATTTCTTAAGTTTCCCAAAGAAATTAAGTGTGTTTTGATTTTAAGTAACAGATCTTTTGACGACATTTTTGATGCCTGGAGATATCTGCAACTGAATTCAGTTTCAAAAATTACAGTCAATAAAAAGTCAGTGGAAGACCCTATACAACTCTACTGAGAAATGAAGCAGAGGTTCAATACGCAGAACAGAAGTACAATCCTTGCTGTATCAGACCAAGGAATCAGACAAGACCATCAGAACAAGAAGCCAGTGAAATAACATAACTGCAATCAATCATATGCTTAGGAACAAGTGTATTGAGTAGAAACAAGGGGAGGATTGAACAGCATCAGTGGTTTACTAACAAAGCAGAGATCAAAAGTCATCCTTGTGACTACCTCTCTGTGCTTTGTAGATATGAACATCCTTACTGGAATCATAGTAGACCTCATATACAGAGAAACGGCCTCTCAGCATTTTCAAAAATTTGTGATCCCGTTCATATCGGATACGACAGGAAAGAAGAATCACAGTTTGCTCTGAGCACAGGTGCTCCAGGGTCTGCAGCAGTTCTGCAAAAGTTTCTTCCAGATAGACGATGTCTGCACCCAGGACGAAGTCAAATGCTCCTGGAAGGAAGTTACCCAGGTCTTTTCCCCAAGTCAGTTCCTTCACCACAGCTCTCGGACGTAGTTCAGAAGGTAAGTTAGCCTGTACATTTGACTCCAGGAACTCCAGTGCTGCTGCCCTGTCTGTGATGGTAACACGAGCACCTAAATGGAACAGGAGTATATGTCTCAGACAAATAATCGTTGTTTATAAATATAGCATTTGGAATACAATGCTCTTAAGTCAAGCAGGCTCCTTAGTTCCTGTTAAACATTAACAACTCCCCTGAGCTGCCTGATTAAAAACAAACAAACAAAAGAACAAAATAAGCAAAAATCCCACTATCTACATATGTCCTACCCTTCAACAGTCACTTAGGAATATAAAGTGTACTCCACCTGGAGATTAAGTTAGGTAGGGAACAAAAAGTGTTTTCTGGAGGTTCTTCTTAGTACGTGAAAGTGGAGGAGTTACTTTCTGCCTTCCCATAGGTGTCAACAGAGTACGTTACAGGGATTGTTACAATTAACCTGCTCCAATTCCGTACTTGTTCAGTAGGACAGCCTCTTTCACAGGTCAGATAGAAGTTATGCTTGTGTGACTTTGCATATCATGATTATATTTTGTCAAACTGCTTTATTATTTCCATAGGCACCTTCCACAGCCACTACAGCTTTGAATTACAAATTTAACCTGGGACAGTTAGCAAAAATTTAACATAGTATCTAGTCTCTGCTTTGGCCACAGACAGATCACAGGCAAATCACTTCATTTCTCCAGACCTTGGTTCCCCTGTCTGCAAGATAGGCTAACAAGGCTTACGCAAGCTCAGAGACTGGTTTCTGTCTGTAGCTTTATCTGTGCTGCATACGAGGACAAGTGGAAGACGGCAAGAACAGCACTTGCTCCCTGGGGGAGAATAGCTGCAGAACTGAATGCTGCTGAGCTGAGTACCATGGTAACAGGCATCCGCCTTAACAGGGTCCCACCATAAAGTAAACTGCAGTGGCACCATCGCTACAATAAAGAACGCAGCAGGCTCTGAAGTCTAACAAGAAAGGAAGATGACTCAGACAGGAAACATCACAGTTCACATTATGTAGCTGTGATGGTAACTTCTATACCAGGCATGTAGATGTAAAAGTGCTAGCTTTACTACAGTTGTAAATTGCTTTAAACAAGCAAACAAAAAAGCCCTTACCTAATAACGTGGCCACTATTCCCAGCAATCCAGTTCCAGCTCCCAGCTCAATCACAGACCGATCCCTGAGATCAATGCCTCCTATCTCCAGGTAAGCACACAGGACAACAGCCTAAGCCAAGAGACAAGGGCAATTAAGCACAGCACTCATTTCAGCCATGCTGAACACAAGATTTCTGATTTAAACTGAGGGAGAAGGTTATGGGAAGGGTCGGGCACTCTAGGTCTGCAGCAAGACTCTGTTCAGCCCTTCTCTGCCTCCTGTGTGCACATGTGGTCTTTTTATGAGTTTTATGGAAGATTCTTACAGGATGAAGGAAAAACGAACCACGGAGGCTACATCCTGGATGCAGTTACACTGCTTCATGAAACCCCAAGCGTAACAGGAGGCAGAAAGAGTTGCATTCAGAAAGGGAAAGCTGGGGGGTGTCAAACACTGGTCAATGAACACAGTATTGCATTGTATCTTGCGTGGTATTTCAAAAGGTTTCTGCACAACACTGGCATGCCATCAGGGAGGACATAGGGAAAGTAAAGTAATAACTCTTCTATCTAGTGGTATCTAACATGTTATATTTTACAGAAACCTTGATAGGGCGCTCTCTCCATCGCAAGTTCTGTCAAAGCCAATGTCGGGAAAGACCAACAGCCCTGTGCACCAATTCACGTGAGGAGTTGGCTAAAACTGCTACGCTTGTTCTTTAAAACTAGAGGTAAAAGTGCAATTTGTGTCTGGACAGAGACCCGACCCATGGCAAGCCCTTGGATCCCTACAGTGGCACTGCGACCCACTGCCCTGCAACCTTGGGCCCACCACAAACCCCTCTGTTTTGGACGGTCCTTATCCCCAAGGTAAAGCCTATCAGCAGTCCTCCTTGCCTGCTACATGCAGCAGGACCCGTGCTGTGCTCTGAAGGGCGTTGTTAAGCAAACATTGCCCCGGCCGCTGTGCAGAAACGGGTGAGACTTCTGTGAGGGATCCCGAATATTTCCTGTATTTGGCACTGGTGCTGCAGGGTCTAAGGCGGCCCGTTTCCCTTGCAGTCTTCCAGGCTCCCTTAAGGAGGGGGGAAGGTAAAGCAGAGTTGAACTTTTTGTAAAACAAACAAAAACTGACAGGGAAAAAAGCCTTCCCGTAACAATTCGGTGTTAAATGATTTTGTAAGGTGATGCTGAAAGCCCGGGCGAGCGCCAGAGGAAGCCATCCGGCACAGAAATACCCCCGTTCGGCGTGAGCACCTACCGCATCCCACACCACGGCCGCCACCCCCAGCCGCCGCCAGTCCTGCTGCAGCCGGATGGTGCGCCCGGCGA